ACTTTTTTTTTTTTTTAATTTCAATTTGTTATTTATTCGTTTTTCTGCACCATCCATCCCTCACCCTGCCAAACCCCACCCCTCACTGCCCCCAACACCCACACAAAAAAAGTTTATTTTTTTACTTTTTCTTTTTGTAATTTTCAAATTTCTGTTTTTTCTTTTTTTCTGCAACTCCCCCGCCCCCCGGATTTTTTTTTTATATATATTTTCAGTTTTAGTTTTTCATCTTTCGGTTTACAGGTTCGAAATTTTACAAGTTCCAAATTTATGAGTTCGGAGGTTTATGTGTTTGGAAGTTTACGGGTTTAGAAATTATAAAGTTTACGGGTTTGAAATTTCGCGGTTTCGAAACCTTAGCGGTTCGGAAGTTTATGAAATTTGTGGGTTCGGAAGGTTGTTGGTTCGAAAGTTTATGGCTTCATGTTTATTGTATCTAAATTATTTATGAATACTCTTGAGAAGTTATTTTCCTTAATTTGTGTACCAAACACCGGAAAATGAATAAGATTACTACTTGTTTTCCAAGAAAACATTTTCCTCGGAAAACATTTTCCGTTATACCAAACACACCCTAAGTCATTTACCCAATTCTTCCAAAGTATAATCACTTTATATCTAATAATTTGGAATTCGTTGTGTGAAAATCCCCCTTAAATCCAACTACTTGGTATATCAACAATGTCCTAGAGAACTTGATAATTAATATTTTTTATCAGGAAAAAATATTGTATTCAAGGGGGCATTTTATTTATGTTAGGGTCTTAGGAAATTTTATTATGGAAAGAATCTTCTAATTAACAATTTTTTTTGTCCACCAAGGATTGCCTGCTGCATTTGTTAATTGGTTATGTTACCAATTACCTTTTATAACTTTTAATGGTTTTGCCTCATTCAGGGCTTCCACAAAGATTTGCCTCTGATTTTAAATTTCCAGTATGGAGATCATTGTTTTATAGGTGGTTTGACACTGTATAATCATGTTTTCTGCAGTTCCACCACATGGATGATCATCAGGAAATGGAAAGGTTTGGGATGGAGAACGATTTTGAAGATGGTCAGTGGATCGGTGGTGAGTTCTACTACCGGAAGCGCAAAGAAAAGAAGCGTGTTCAAACCAAGGATGATGTCCTCTATGGTGTTTTTGCTTCTGACGATAGTGACTCTGACTATGAGGGATCCTCCAAGAAGCGGAAAAAAGGCCTTTCCACGAAGGCTGACCTCACCAAACCTGTTAACTTTGTTTCAACTGGAACAGTCATGCCCGACCAAGAAACAGATCGCAATTTCAAAGAGGAGAAGAACCAGAAAATGTCCGAAGAGAGCAAAGGTTTGGGATCTGGAGCATCTGTTGGCCTTGGATTTAGTACTAGTTCCTCGAAGAATATTGCTGCTGATGAATACACCAAAACACAGGCCCAGGTTGAAATTGAAGAGGAAAACTTTCTGCCCACTGCTTTTGGGAGGAAGATTAAAGAAGGTGCCCTAAGACGTGAGAAGGAAAGGGAAAAGGAGAAGTCTATGTTGGCCAAGAAATCTTCTGAATCAGGGAGAAGGGAACCTGATGGTGATGTTGGTGGCTTTGAGAAGCATACCAAGGGGATTGGGATGAAGTTGCTTGAGAAGATGGGTTATAAGGGAGGTGGGTTGGGGAAAAATGAGCAAGGAATTTTGGCTCCGGTCGAGGCAAAGCTTAGGCCCAAGAATATGGGAATGGGCTTCAACGACTATAAGGAGACTAGTGCACCAGCTCTTCAAGAATCAGAGGGAAAGCCTGTTGCTCGTCCTGCTCAACCTGTGGAAGGCCACTCAAAAGCGAAGCTTTGGTCAAAGCAAGCTAAAAAACTGAAGAAGGTTTACATTACAGCTGAAGAGTTGTT